ATATCTGACCAAACCCACTTGATTGTCGGGACCTGTTATTATTCGGCTATAATTTGAATATACTGAATCTCAACTAATTTACAATTAACAGTAGCACAAAGCTTCCCACCACAAGTAATTTCTTGGCAACGAAATGTCTTCAACTAATTTTTAACGAAAAGGGGTCTCCCCAAATTAAAAAGAATTGACAGAATCTCAGAGATTCTCCGCTAACAATAATTTATCGTGAACGTCAAATTCCGCAGCAACAAAAATGTTCTAAGGTCCTCCCAATCAATCGGTACGTAACTCGACAGACATTAATGACACTTAGCTGTGTATTCCTCCCCTACGTTCCTCCAACACCTCGCCACGATCTCCACGTACAGCGGTTGACTATGTGGTCGGCACGAACTCCAAAGGTTCTACGATTCTACAACGTCCTCGATCTCACGTTTCTCCCAACAGCGATATACACGAAAAATACAACTCCAACTCCCTCAGGGTTAGTCTTCAAGACACGAAAAACGAACGTACGACAGCCCTGCTGGTTATTATCGTCCTACAGGTTGCTCTTATAGCCCTACCAGTAGCTAGCTCCGCCCTTTTAACAGACGGATTGTACTAGATTAACGCAGATGAAAGCAAATTGATTGACGAAATCTCCGGCCCTAGCCGCGTGGTCTAACCACTCTTTTCGGTGAACTACATCGGCCAAATCCCGCAAGCGGTAATAAGACAACAACCCATTCCTTTCCAATAGTCCAATTCCAAACGAAGTCTTAATAAATACCGATAATTCACCAACAATCACATAATATGCTACACTACGACTTGCTTTCCGCCATCACACCATTTCAAGAGAGAGATCGTTGATAGTTCCACCTTAAAAATCCCCTAGGTGAGCGGCATCTTTCATACAACCAGGACTCCTACACGATATTCGTTTTCCCGACCAAAGTGACCGTCACAATAATAAATAATAATAAAAATAATCATATTTTTTTTTGCAAAAAATCGTTTACCTTCTAAAGGTCTTTTATACAAACAACACGTGAAGCCCAGGAGGTGTCTAGATTCCGAATGGGGTAGTTAAAATAGGTTTCGTAGGCTTCATATAGTTATTTGTGTACCAAGGCCGTAAAAGTGATCTTTTATGGCCGAAGCTGCTGTTTGTGGCCGAGGCGGTAGCCGAGGCCGCAATTCAGATGAGGCCTAACAAATCACTTTTGGCCAAGGTGCACACAAAATTTTTTAGGCGATCATCAAAAAAGAATTCAAAAATTTGCTCATAAACATATTTTTTCTGAAAATCATAGTTATCTTAGACAATTAAAAACAAAGCATTTCCTGTCATATGTAATAAATTATAATTAGCATCTTTGCGTGTGTTTTGTGCGTATCAAAATGGGTGATAGCGACAGTTCAGATACCCAAAATGAAATTTTGGAAGCTGCAAGCGTTGCAACCGAGGTTGCAACCCTGTCATATATGATATAAGAGCAGGCGTTTGAGAGTAAAAGTACAATCGCAACTTCCTCCGCTGCACAAGATTTTAATAATGTCAAATGCAATAGGTCCTTCGTAACTGTGGCTTCCAAGACCTTATAGTTAACATGCTGTACAATTATTAGAAACCTGATTACCTACTTTGATGGTAGGTATAGGTAGCTACTTGTGTTTTCGGTTAATTGCTGGTGATTCTTCGTATAATAATGTAAGCAATAACATCTTCCTCATGTTTTGGTTCTACACTTCAAAAAGGTCTGCAAGCAGCAAAGATTGAAACGTCAAACTATAATTTTAAATGTGAACATTGTGATTATGCAAAATGGTGTGAAACATTCCTACAAGTCCGAAAATGAAAAAAACGCACGTGGATGGCCCAATCCTTGATGGGGCGAGACCAGATAGACGCTTTGTATCAAACAGATTACTGTTTCTCACACATCAGTTTCAAATAAGTACAGTTTGACAGATGTGTACAATAAAGTAAAGTTTGACAGAAGCGTACAATAAAGTGAAACTTTATGGCTGCAAAAGCGACCATAAAATCAACGTTTTTGTGATGATAGGCTTTTTACAGGCATTAAAAAGAATTTTTGTCTTTCATACTTTAATACATACACCATAAAGTTCGTGACCATAGACCACATAGGTATATAAAAATATGCATCAGCATCATATTTCCACTTTCTTGGCCACATTTTAACCTCTATGAGTCTTCTAGAAATGCTTGTACATATATTTAAATGTATGTAGTACCTCAATGATGAGCAAATGTACCAAATTTCTGGTAAATTTATAGCGAATATAGCAAATGATGTGTAAATGTAGCAAATTTCTGGTAAATTTATAGCGAATGTAGCAAATGTTGTGTAAATGTAGTAAATGTAGCAAATGTTATGTAAATGTAGCAAATGTCTGGCAAATGTAGCAAATGTTGAGCAAATGTGGAAAATGGCAAATGTGGTGTACACAATATTGCGCAGTGGTCAGCCCCTCGGAGACAGCAGATTATGTATCCTGCCGCTTGTCACTTTACTGGCCGCAGCAATCACTTTCCGGTCGCATTTGTGACATTTGTAATGTCTATAATGACACTGACAGATTGACATTAATCAAAAGTTTTATATACAAATTGAAATTTTATATCAAAATACGATTTCGGGTAAAATTTAATACAAAACTCGTCAATAAAATGACATCACTCGACTCGGAAATTCTCTGGCCTCGTACTTCAATATTTCCTCGCCAGTAATGTGTCATTTTCCTGAATTTTATGTAAATAACTAATTCCTTGAACTTCATAAAATAGATGTTCACGTGCTTTATTTTCTCGTGCATCGCTCATGGAAAATGGTTACTCCCGTCTTGTAGTTTTGGTACCAGATGGAAATCTGACGGAGCTGTAAATCAATTGTAATCCCCCAAATCGACTAATTTCTGGGACACAAGACGGCACAAATTCACGGGTACTTTGTTGTGGTGGACCAAGATTTTTTGCTTTGCTAATGTAGGCCGTTTCTCCGCGATTGATGCTTAAAGAAGTTAAAATTTAACATGGAATGGGCCATGGAAGAGGTTTTCTTCCCCGGTAATTTGAAAGCGTACGGGCGTTGCAGAATAGTCATATCGCATTTTATACAAACGAAGAAACGAAATAGGTTTTCAATAAATTAAAGGATTAAAAGTTTGTCACTTAGAATCTGTGATACTCGAAGGTATGACTCTTGATGAGTCGAGAACTGGAATCCAATAAACGAATTTTTTATAGCTCATAATCTGAACAAAATAATTGAATGAACTGTGATCAAATTGCTACTAACATGATCAGAATCTACGAAAAAGACGCAGTTTTTCGCGATAAATGCATTCTTATTGCAATAAATTTAATGAACCTTTTAACAAAAGTAATCAAACAACCCATAGGTACATTAAAACAGAACTGTCACTTAAATGATTGAACAAAGTAAAATTGATAACAACATTGCCCTACATTTAACAATTTTAGGAAGTAATCTTTTGCAAGGAAAAATACACCACTTTGATACAACTAAATACACAATAATCGTTCCGTGCTTAAACGTAAAACTCCACCAGACTAATTAAATCATTTGAAACGAAATAAAGACCCGTCATCTCCCCCACCCCCCTCCTCCTCATATCTACAAAATGCGTTTTATATGTGCATGAATATATAACCTCAAAGTGATTTTAGAAACCTATCATTTCTTGAATGTTATCCGCTATTGTTATTTTGCAGGAAGTAAACCCTGGAAATTATAATGGAAAATTTTATTTAACATGTGGAGCAATCAAAATTGTCCCGCTGAAGTTCATTCAATGTTATAGATAAAATGTAAACTTTCTGGTTATTAGCGGTTTCCAAGCCAATTATAAACTTTCGTTAGCGTGGAAGACAGAAGTATAGGAAGTTGAAATCAAATAGTAAGATTCTCATTCCAAACTGACCCCATTTTTGGACACCAATCAATAAGCAATTACTTAATGTTAGTTGTTTTAGTAGTAAGATCAATATTCGTAATGAATTTGTAATATGTATACCGATACCGAGAATTGCAAACTGAATCGTAAACTTCTTCCATTTACTGATAGGTATTAAAGTTTTTGTTATTTTGTTGGCGACATAGAACTGTTGATTTTGTATTAAATATCTGAAAGTTCTACAAAAGTGGCATTAAAAGTGGGTATTTTTATTTTCTTTGTGCAGTCCACAAAAGTGGAAGTACTTCCGACTTTTCATCCATCTGTCCTCCGATTCACGCTAACTTTGTCCCACAGGGTTATCTGCTAAGAGATACAGTGCTAGTTAAATTTGAACAGTTACCAAATTTAAAGCCGAATCGTCAATTTAAAAGCTTTCGTTTAGTTTTCATGAGACTGGGGATAACTTAATTTTGCATTTTATTTATTTACATTTGACAGGAAAACTACCTTAGTACAGGAATGTGTAGTTTCGCTGAAGAGTTTTACTCTAGTCTTTATAGAGTGGTAATTTATAAGCTGAAAACTATCCTAAGTGCGAAACTAGACGGGCGTTTTTTTCTGCCGCGGAATCAACGCAGCGTAATTTCCGCTACAATTGCAACTACACGGGAGCGATATTATCACTGCGGAAAGGAATACGCCTCTCACAATGTATCGCTGCCCTATAAACGCTAGGACAGTCGTATCGCAGCGGAAAAACGCGTCCGGTTGCGTTGAATCCGCTCACGCTAGCGGAGCCAGAGCGGAGAAGCGTGGAAAAAACGCCCGTCTAGTATATTCCATATAAGCGCTTGTATCTCATTCCAGCGTGTAAAACGCTGCGATGATTCCGCGGCGGAAAAAACGCCCGTCTAGTTTCACATTAAACACTATAATGATTATATACACTCAACAATTAATAGGTAGGAAAATGGAAGTGTAAAGTAACATGTTGCGTAGTACATACCTGCTATATAAATAGTTCACATGTAACTTTTTATTCTTAATAACACGTGCCTTGACTGTTACAGCCCGTCGGATTTGTTACATTCAATACACGAGCCGGAGCGGAAGCAGCCAAGCAAGATCTGCAGGTGGGTTTTGATTTTTCTTTATATAATAGGTCATTCCTGTAACATAAATTTAGCACATTTCGCACTCTGCACCTGATCACTGCAGAGTAACTGCTTTCACAAGCATAGTTACCTAAGCTCTTTCACACTAACTTTCAACATTTACATTAAAGTAAAATTATTCCTGGAAAGATTCGTTTTAAATGTTAACCATACCTACTCTCATAATTTTTGATTTCCCTAGTCACACTTCTTATGAGTAGATGAGTTCGATTGATTAGATATTCTTTCTTACGCATAGAATTAAACTTTAAATTAACATATTATAATGCAAACTTTTAATAACGCTTGTACTGCTCTCTCTCTCTCTCTCTCTCTTTACCCTCCCCTAGTCCCCTTCGCATAAAATGTTACCTTCGGCAAAATTCGATTACTCACATCTTGGAGACAAATGAGGCACCAACTCCAATCAATTCGACGTGTCCGATTCATTGTTACTGTATAAAGGAAGTCTCAATTAAAGCCGCAGTTTTAAGGTTTATTCATGTTAATCATCGGTTTATACCAGAGATCTGAACCTATTGTATAAATGGTTCCGGTTTATTATTTCATTTACGCGCGAAATAAAATGTTAAAGCACGTGGTACTAACTTCGAACGGTAGCTCTTCCTACTTTCAAAAAATGAAGATCTTTTCTAATATGGTAAATATATTTTTGGGGACGCTACTGGATCAAAACCTCGACATTTATTTTAGCTTGTTTTTGTACAAAACGATTACCAAGAACAAAACTGTCACAGTTTTTATTTTTAAGTCTATGTGACGTCGAGAACATGTAGGTTAGTATATTATTGCTAGTTATTAAAAATTCTCATAATTGCGTAACAATTGCTGCAATCACTAAATAATCGTTACACTTTGTATTTACAACAATTTTGAAAATTTTGAAATGTAGCTAACAAACGCACAACATTTTAATAGATCCTTAATTTGCAAAAAAATATTTATTTAACATGTTTGTTATGAGTATACTAAACATCATGCTTCAGGGGTGGATGATTCCAGACTGATTTTAGTTTTGTTGTCAATTACTTATAATAATACTACGCGGTTGTTTGTGAAGAGTGTTTTCTGTTTGACAAATTGTGTAGGATCATGTTACGGGATTCTGATCGAATAATTAAAAATGCAACGCGTCTACTGACGGGCAACCAAAAATTCCATAGCTTCGAGGCTCCTTAGGAATTATTGGAATGTTCCATGGAAACTAATTGTTAACGGTCATAACAGGTGATGAATCATACAGTTCGAAATGTGAAGAGGTCGTGGTAAATTTTCACCGCAAAAACGCTGCAATCCATTTCCACCTCCGAGCTCGTGGGGTTTCAGTCAAATACTCGACCGCTGTTCATCCCCACCTACACCTGACTTTTCTGCTTCTGACTTGTTCTTATTCTCCAAACTCAAAATATCTTTGAAAGGAAGAATGTTCTCGAGATTAAGATAAATGCACCTGGAAGACATTACAAAAGAAACGTTCCAGGACTAGTTCCAGAAGTGGAAAAACCGCCGAGGAGGGGCTCACCTTGAAGAGGGCATGAAACTTCTAAATAAAACACATTTTGTCTTATCAGAATACGTACCTTTCACGTTCACCAACCCTCGTATATCTCGTTCAATAAAGTGAACGCACCTTGTTAATATTTTTAGATTACGGATTACTTGTGATATAACAGCATCGACAAAATTCACTTTTATTCACATTCGAAAAACCACTAGGAATGGAAAGACCGAGGGAAAGGCTTATAATAAACTGAATGGAATAGGTAGCCACTTAAAAAGGCAACGATGATATGTCAATGTAATTGCGACCGGTTGATTGGGGTATACTTACACGGCTAGACATAGATTATGTTTTCTTTTAATTAAATTGGGGAATAAACGAAGAGCATTATAACTACATACCAAAGATTTTCGACAAAGTTTAATGTTAAAAACTTTTTGAAATGGACCTACTACTTTTTTTGTGACTACCGCAGTTCAAACCAAAAGCTCTCAACTGCTATTCGAGCCTGGTAACAATATGCTTTGTGAGTATAATATAATTATGCTTCTCAAATATTCGTTCATCTCCACCACACAGATGTGACTCGGACGTAGTCGTAATTTATTATCTCCTTGGCAAACTCTTGCTTTGAATTGGTTTTACATTTTTCATCGTTGTAACACTAGTCGATATCTTACCTAGGTCATTGTCCGTTCAATATATTAAAATATAACAATCAAGTAACACGCCATTATTGATTTACTTTTTTTTTCAATAAACGCATGAATTGTGGTATTTCCTATTCACACGTATCTGTGTTTAGGATATCGGCATGAAAATGCGTTAAAATACTATACGAAATACCTACATTGTCTACTTTCAATTAACAATAGATAATATGTTGGGCGAAAATGTAAAAGTATTGTAGTAAAGTAACCCGTCCGCTTTAAAGATGATGTTATGATGCATGGACATTCGTAACATGTGCCCATCACTGTAATAATCTCCCAAAGTTTTAATGTAAATTACAGAGCGTTGTTAATGACCGATACCACGTACCTGTATTTTTCCGTTCGCTTAAAAATCAATATTAAGCTGTTATATTCAGGAATAATACCTTCAAACCATTAGGTAGAATTAAATTAAATGTTTTGGAATACACCGCCTTATTAAGAGTGGGGGGGGGGGCGTAAATGTCGCACAGAGACCTGCTGAAAGAGGTTTGACGCTTTAAAATTTAATTGCACAAAGAGTTTGCTGTCCACGAAATTATCCTCTAATGTGATCATGATCTTTGTCTTTTGAAATTGTTTTTGTTAATTTAGTAATGAGTAAATTTGTATTACACTTCAATCTTCATAATTTTTGTTTTGGAATACTTAACCGCTGTGGAAGTTTTAAATACAAATTACATGGGAAGTTATACGATCTACGAAATCATCTTCTAGTATTATCATGATCTCTAATTTTCTTGTGATTTTTAATCGTTTCGTGTACCTATATTTTTATGTTTCTGTATTAGATACAACAGATCCATTCTTAATCATAAAGGAAATCTTACATACAATTACTTTACGATTAAATTAAACGTACATAAAAACATTAATCTCTCCTTTGTTGCGATTAATTCTAACCTGCAAAGATATAAAAGTTCATGAGGTTGCATTATTTCGTACATGTATCAATTTTTATGAGTTTATATTCACGTTAACATTACGCGAAAAATAAAAATCAATTTGCATAGTGTGTGAAACTTTTTGAGGTAACTGAATTTCATATTCATTTTAACAATCACGAGCATATTTCTTTAGTTGCTTTTACTTTCAAAACACATTAATGTCATAAACCTATGTAAATCTAGAAAAATTAGTACCGCATTATCACAGACACCTTTTTTTGTGGGCAATTTTGCAGCAGGGCGTAAGGTTTGACCCCGACATGCCTCAGACCATTCGACTGGAGTTTGCTAAAAGTAACACCAAGGTTAGCAAGCCCAAACAGCAAGCTGCTAACGCCGCCAACACGCACCCAACTTTGATGCACCCTCTCACTGGACGTAAGTACACAAGCTGTCTTTCAAATGTAAGGCAGTCGCCACCCTATTCGCACACCTGTCCTCTGTTCCCTATACCTGCTTATCGCCCCGTAATAAGTAACTAATTTTTATGTTTGTAAAGCAGAATAGCTTATGTATTTAGTCATTACTACTATCGTCAATAGTTGATTAGATGTAAACTAACGTTATTTGTATATAATTTTGTACTTCTTTTACCCGATTTGTGTAACTGCTTGAGCACTTATTTGCACTGTTTAGGTATTGGAAATAAGTGACACTCGATATTACAAAATTTTGTTCTCGAATGTGTATAGAGGTTACCATAAGACAAAACATTATAGCAATTAAGGGTTTTTACTTACAGTAGCATTTTTGTTTGTAATACTATTATTGACTTATTTAGATATCACGGTGAAGAACGTATTTTATTTTAATTATGATACGAGCGTGTAGAATATTATGGTATATTAAAGCATGATTAATTTTTTCGTTTTTTGTACGATTGTCTAATATAGGACCTGTTCCAGACTTGGGAACTCCATTCTTCCCCGGAGGACCAGAATTATGGCATCATCCGTTAGCTTATTCAGCTGCAGCAGAACTACCTGGAGCGGCTCTTCAACATGCTACACTAGTACATCCTGCTCTCCATCCTCAAGTCCCCGTACGTTCCTATCTTTGACTATCTACAGACAAAACTCTGGACTCCCAGCTTCAGCAAGCAAGTGCCCCAGTACACCATGTTAGTTTTAATTATATTTATTATTTTATTCAAATTACATCTTACTTAATGCACTATGGTAGGTATGCTAACGATTCATATTCTAATGTAATTGATGCCTTCTGTTGTTGTGAAGACTTGCACGTTTACGTACCTATTACTATTATTTCAATATACGAAATTAATTGCTATTGTATTTCCAGCCGCCATTATCTCTGCCGCATCCTACGGCGTTAACATCCATACATGCAGCATCACTACCGCACTTTTTACCTAGTCCAGCCTTGGCCTCGCCGGTGGGTTCGTCATCTTCCCAGCCCGGCTTAGGCGTGAATAACCCGCCTTGTTCTACACTGTTTGTGGCAAACTTGGGCCAGTTCGTGTCAGAACATGAATTAAAAGAAGTTTTCGGCAGGTTTGTACAACACCAAACATTTAAAGACCACATTACTTACACCAATAGTTAGTGCAAGTTATAGTGATATGTGTACATTTTCTTTGTTTAATGCAGAACCAACGTCATATGATGGAGGCCTACTGGCGCAAATTTTGTTTTGTAAGTATCACTAGTGCGCCCAGCTCATGAATATGAGCCGTTACGAATAGAGTTTCTGTCCGTCACTATACCTTGCACTTAATTGCCTTGTATTTGTTTTACAATAATCCTAATATTTTTCCAAAATTTGGTAGTTCATTGTATTGAAAACAGGGGCGTAGTCAACTAGTCATCTCCATTTCAAATTTCCCCCCTTTACTGCCGCATGTCACTTAATTACTAACTGATATACGGTTTATCATCACTTTAAGTCACACTATGAATGTTGTTCCTTGCACTTCCTGTAGTCGCAATAGTGCCCTGACACTGAGTTGCACTTGTGGTGTTCTTGTGCACAGCTTCCCTGGCTTCTGTCGCCTGCGCATGCACAGCAAGGGTGGATCCCCAGTGGCATTTGTGGAATACCAAGATGTGCGCTACGCTGCACAGGTCATGGCTGCTCTGCAAGGTTCCTTCCTTCTGTCCTCCGACCGCGGCGCCATTCGTATCGAGTATGCCAAAACCAAAATGGCTGCAGAGGTCGGTCTATTTGCCTTTGCTAACACTAGTAGATCATACTAGAATTAACTATGTGTGAATCCTTGTGTATTCATTCATATAGAATAGTACATTATTTTCCACATTACACTGTATCTACTCCTGTATTTGACAAACAAATACTTGCAGGGAACAAAAGGAGAAGAAAATGGACAATCTTAATTCTTATATGCCTCTGAGTACTTGACAGCGAACGCTAATTGTAGCTGGCGGACATTGTTAGCCGTACGCCCAACTTACTGCTCACAGTAACCTAATACTTACTCTTAGTTAACTGTTGTTATGTGCTAAGGATGCGGACAGTATTTATTTGATAAATACAGGTATATCAATCAATCTAAAGTTACTGGGGAATATTACAGGATAAGCTTATACCAAAGGTGCCCTAAATGTTATGTTTTAAATTATTTTAATAACAAATTGCGCAACAAACATTTACATTTTTACTGTATGTGCTTGTTGTCGCTAACAGTATTGTTTTTGTCGAGCTTTTTTTAGTAGATAGATGATTCTAGTTACAATTTTTATAAAGTAAATTATTTCTTTTAATATATTAATTCATAGCAATAAACCAAACGCTGCTACTATAATTGACATACTGGGAGTGTTCTAAAACTATCTTGATATACAAATACAATTTAAATTGAGATATTTCAAATCATATAGCAAACTATTCAGTGAGCGCGACATTTAATTATTTTTGGTTCATATATAGTGTGTAAATAAACTCACTGACTTATGATATATACAGCATTTACAAAAGTATAGTTGATGCTTTTTGCTTTTGTGAATAAGATTTAGATTTCGACATTTGTTAACTTGCAATCAAAACCAATATATTTGCAGGAATTAGATGTATTACTTAGAAACAAATTTTAGTATGTAATTCAATTGATATATACCTACTTACATTTTATTTTAATAATGTATTAATATTTTGAAAAAGTGTATGTACCTGTAATGGAATTCGTTTTTATTTTAACTTTGAGATTGTTGAATGAATTTTGACAAAGACTGCATTCATGTTACAGATACCTATTGATTCACGTAGATGGCGCCACATAAAAATTATCTCAACCTATAATGTTTGATTGATAATACCATGCGATCAAAAATGAGTCACCTTTGGAATGTTTGTTTACATACCTACTTAACTTGAACTTCCAAAGGCGACTCGACGGCAACTCATTTTTAATCGCCCGTATAATATTTGCAGTGTGCGTCGACTTACATAAATTTCAATAATTATCAATCATCCAATAATGAAATGTTACTAATTTTGCTGCTATTAAAAATTGTCTAATGTTCGAAATGGAACATGTACTATGGTAGGTATTTAAAATTCATCATCATTCTATTGTTCATAATATTGAAGGGACCATAACTCGCTCTGTATTCCTATGAGACGTCATTGGAATGTAAACGAATGATATACAATGATTTTTAAAAATTTTCAAAAAATTGTCACCAAGTTTGTATGGTTACATATAGTACCAGTGCCCTTCGTCAAACTATTTTCGCATAGTTCCAAATATGCTTAATTGATATTCAATGTACAGGTACATTCTACTTTTAAAAACCAAAGTTACGATAAGTAGTAAAAATTTTTGAAGTTTTTAGTTGTAAGTAGTACCTAAGTAATAATGACACATTGTTTTTTCATATCCGTATTTGAAATTATTTTTTATATATTTATATAGTTTTACATTTATTAATTTTTAACATACATTCAAAGTTGTATGATGTTATAATATTGATAATTCTCTATTACCTAGATTATATTCAAATAGTGTTGTAGTAGTGCTTTTTGTGTGACGTTTATGTGATATATCTATTATTATCATGTAAGTATAAATTTAGTAGCCGATGTAATAATTTTGGCGTAAAACCATCCAAGATAGGGAATCATTTACTACTAGTTCTATTTATATCAGGTAATTGTAAAGTCAATTAGGTCTTGAGATTCAAGTATTTATTGATAGAGTAGTACTGATTTGATATCTTGGATTAATCTGAAATGCAGATAATAGCAATTCAACTACATTGTTCAATGAACCACAGTTAAGGAACGATGTTCAACAAATCTAAGGTTGAATAATGAAGATGAATTGTTCTGTGTTATATAATCCGTCCAGTGCATGTCAAAATGGCATGCCGCAGCTCAAAAAGAGCATGGGTAGGGTGGGTGCGGATCAGGGTGATTTGCTGGGTCTGCGATTTTTGGGAACTATAGAAAACATATCAGCTTAATTAATTAATAAATCTAATACCTGTTATATGCAATCCGACCTTTGTATGTTGTCTTGTAAATGTGTTTTAAGAAAATAGCAGAGTATATGTGTTTAAATTATATGCTCTTGGTATTGTGGAAAAAAATTGGAAAATGCTTTGGGCTAGGTTTGTTTATAAGCCGTCGTTGCCCTAGCATACATTTTGTGATATAAATATAATGTATCAATGGTATATAAACTAGCCACAACCGCCTTCTCTGCTTTAGATAAGATTAATAAACACCACTTTCTAAACATATCATGATCTGTGCCCCATGTTAAGTGACATCTTAAATTTTTAGCAATTAAATAATGTAATGAAGATTTGATAATATTTAAAAGTATGACTTTACACTTATGATATAAGACAAAATGTAATCTATGAAAATAACAGATTACTTACAATTTATATGGTTATAATTTATTTCAGTAAAGTTTAAAGTTTGTAAAATGCTGTGTAGTGTGTATTTTGTACCCAGCAAGCAATAGGTGGGGGCGATATCGCTCCTGTAACCTAGCCTTAGTAAATTCTGTCATATTAAGACCTGGAATGCATATCTTTACTATAAGCGTTACTGTAAACTTAGTTTAATGTAACATGTGTTGAATTGTTGGTTTAGAAATCTAAGTACAACAGGATTTTCTTGATGGAAACTGGCAAGGATCAGCCTTGCACCAGTCATTGTTGATTCTAGTCACATATTTGTAATACCCACCCAACCATCTTGCCCCTTATTGTCTTGTTCATGAACGAGCATTCCATACAAATATTACATTTACTCATACCTGACAACGTACTTATTAGCTATAAATTGTATAGGGTCCAAAAGATGGGAATAAAATGTATATGAAATACAGGTTTTTTTTGTTACCTACCTTATGTAATATGGTGTATATCCGAATCACTCATACCACAGATATACGTATCATACCGAACTTGCATATATATACTTTTAGAATACCTACTAAATGCTTGTGAAATGACAAAAGTCATAATAGTATATTAAGATACAATAGTGTATAATCAAGTCTTTAAAGCACGCGCAACGAGTTTAAGGGCACGACGCAAAGCGGAGTGCCTTTAACGTTGCAAGTGCTTTAAAGACTAATTATACACGTGTATCTTATAGTATTTTTTATTATACCTGCAGTATAATTTAAAAATAGGAAATACAATGAAGTCATATTGACGTTATACTCGAATACATGTCTAATTAAGTGGGCTGGGTGTTCGTAATTTCACGATTGCCATGGAAATGTCACTTGACGTTTGCTTATAAAAATCATCGTCTTTGTGAATTAAACGATTTCCGTTGAAAAAGATAATACACCGCCCATTAAATCGATTGTTGTAAAATCTAAACAAACGTTGGTAGGTGTAAAATCCAACTCCAGTAAAGCCTATTATAAAGAATATGAAAAGTTGTTTCCATGGATGAATAGGAAGTTACTTACGAATACAGTCTTAAATGCATCCATAATGCTGGCATATATGAAGGAAATGTCAAAATCTTTTAATATTTTGGTGCATTCATTCAAAACTTTAAAGCAATGCTGCGATTAAAGAGTGGAACAGATTTGGAAGCATACCCTAAATTACGCGCGTTTGTGAAAGCTTCAACCAAAGGATAGATACAAAAGCCAAAGAAATGTTCTGCATTTACAGAAAGCGACCTAAGAGGATTTTTTATTTCATCCAGATGACAGTTTCAAAAGTCATACTTGAAGTATCGTTACTTAGCAACTTTAAAGCACGTGTGTTTTAAAGGCCCTTTTTCGCACGCATTTGAGTGTTTAAAACGGAGATTGTGATTCAGGTATAATAAAAAAGTTGTTTTAAAATGTCCATTGAATTCTGTCTGAGCGCTAAAGTGAAAGGGCTGTATATGCTGAGCTAGAAAAGCATGAATTTGAATGATACTTTAAACACCCAAAGAGAATTTTATGATAAATTGGTCTTGCATGCCAATGAACGCTGGGCGGGGGCAGGCTATACCGAATGTGGTCAGAAGTAATAAAGCCAATAAAGGTCCACATATCGCATCATAGAGTTCATCACTCAAACTTTGCGAATGCATATGGAATTAATAGGTATTAATGACTGAGACACTGAAAGCGAAAAACGTTTAAAGTTTGCGAAATTATATGATGGTCAACAAGACTATTTGAAACTTCAATGAAAAAATTATTAATCTAATTTCCACTTATTACTTCTTAAGCAAAAATGATAATCAAGAATCTCTTATAGTTTGTGGCACTATATAGCATCATGTACCGCATCTGCTAACAGATTGCTATGCTACCATTAGAAATATATTTTTGCCTGTTGTTAGTTGTGACAAAAAAACTTAACATTTTAACAATCATCTATATCTACAATACCACAGATATACGTAAAGAATATATCTGTGACAATACGAAGGATATTAGGTGGCGTCAGAGAAAAGCATGGAAGTTTACATGGAAGAGTTTTTGTAGCTCTATAGAACATATACAATGATCGTAGGAATGTTACAATGAATGAATGTTATTTGCTTCTAACCAAAAAACGTATCACTTCCTTACGTAAGATCGTACGATTGGCGGCCATATTTTCGGAGCCAAAGTTTGTTTAATTTTTCATTTTCGTGATTATGCGATCATTAAGTCTCGAAATGTGCAATTAAAAACATTATTGGACAATGGTACATTGTAGTGCACGGAAGTGATAGCCAAAAAACACACGAAAGTATATCGTTTCTCTGGTATAAATTATAGGTTAGTTTTCGGTGAAATAACAAACAAATGTGGGTTTCACTTTACGATCATTATTATCACTCCTCACTCTTTCTTTTTCTAAGGTGTGATAATCCACCCTGATGGTTAGGCAACACACGTTTACATCTGAAACAAAAATATAATATGCTCTGTATATAACCAACGACCGTTTTGTGCAGATGCCGAATCTTAGACAAGGAAAGAGAGGGGACCCGTAAATACCGCATCCACGGCATGCGTGAATTTGACGCGAATTTCGAGACGACCGCCATATTTTCGGTGGCAGTCAAAGCTCGGGGGCAGTGTGAATTTATTGACATTTCTTCATTATTGATAAAGTTTGTGTGTGCAAAACTGTGTGATATAAACGTGGTGGTTTGTTCTGCGTACAACTGTAAAAGTTGCAGTGGTCGTTGTCCAGCAGGAATATCATTTCATAGGCAAGATAAAAATCGGCACGTTGTCTGGTTTGGCTAAATTTAATTAAATCTTCATGGTAGTTAATAAAACACTTCTAAGGTCTTCATTTTCATAATCTTACAATTGTCCTATATTTTTGTGCATCAATAAAATACTGCTTTATACTTCTTTTCATTGATTATTTCTCGATTACAGTAAGCAAGTGATATAACCTGCAAGTGATATTGCAGTGGCGGCGTGACTATCTAGTTATATGACGTAACAGATATGTACATGTTTGGATGCCTAACCCTTAGGCGACTGATTACTTTGTATGGGGTAGTTTAACTACAGTGTATGTTGCCTTTGTACTTACATTTAGTACGACAGATAGGAGTTGGTCTTCAAAAGAGAGAGGTCTTCGATCGATGTTCGAAGCAATACACATCGATCGCCGCCACATTCGATAAAGACAATACTCGTATATCCTGAAGGAAGATCGTTATGATTAAACTCGTTAGGGGAGAAGACATCTCAATTCAGTATTATCACCGTCGTCATCGTCAACGGTTTGCTATAGTATCAACAGCTTATTACTGAAGTACAAGAAACTGCTTAGGGCTTTATTGCCAAAGCCTGTTGTCGTATAATTGTGAATATTCCAATTCATTTATTCTTTTGTTTAGAAATAATTTCCCATTCTGAAACCATCAGCTGCGTTTACCCTCAAGATTCACTCGGAAAAGAATATAGGTACATTTATTAGATTTGTACCGTTTTCAATATAAGAATTATTTACTAACGTACTTTATTTTCCTTCATGATAACCAAACTGATAAGAAGTGTATCAATCAAGATAGAGTACAGTTATCATTAATTACTTTGTTGGTGCATGATCACCTGGTTCTCCGCACTTAGTCGCAAACAGTGTATAACCTAATGATCTCTCTCCAAAAGGGTAAAATTATGTCAGAACAGTGTATGATACTGGTGTGCATCATCGGCAAATTGTACTCGTGTAAATCAGTCAATTGATCCCCAGGATTCACATCAGAAGCGCTAACTGCCATTTACAAGCAAGCAGATATATCGGGAAGAAAAAGATACAATGTGTCCCAGGTAGTACGCACCATTGGGAAACGACAATGTATTTTTTGCGAAGGATCCTAAAATATGCCAACCATTATTTTCTTCTTCCAAAAGATCAAGGGATGGATAGAATAACAACCCCACCTCAAAGCAGTTGAGTGCAGATACCTACAAACGCTTGCTGATTACAACAGAGTTGTGAGATAGTGGGGTGGAGAGTTGTATTCCAATCCCTATTCTATATAACTTGTCCGTCGCAAGGAAACATCGAACAAATAATTAATGCTTCAATTAATTGGAACAATGAAATAGAAGTAAAAGATATTGCAATAAATGTTGGTTCGAAAAGCATGAACTCTGCAATATTGAACAATTTGTAAAATACGTTGCGAGGTTCCTCACCAGAAAGATGTGTGCATTAATTAAAAGCGAAATGTGTTGCAAAGTGTTATTGGAGCATAAGGAACATATACCGTACATTATACTCTTATAATTTACGCTTTTTCAGTTTTGATCGCTTCAAAAAGGGGGTGTGCAGAATTTTACTAAAGGTATATGTGGTAATATACAGTGAGTTTTTTTTAAATGCGAACATAGGAGTTTGCATGCAATGTAATTTCCCTATGTTCGATTTAAAAAAAAACACATCAATCTATGAGGTGTGCGCGGTTCACATTCCCAAATCGCGCAACTTGTGTGACTATGAACAGCAACTCTATAGTCTTTATGATGAAGAGCACTCGGTAAGATTTTTTTAAAGAAGCCATGTGAGGCCATAGTAACTTTAGGAAACATTTTTCTTAAACTTACGATAACTTGACCTCACAGGCCACGCACTGACACCACAACTCATTGTGAACCAATCTTCAATTATTTGTAGGTCATGTGCACCTGGTATTCTACTAATTTGATCTATTCAATACATAAACGAAGAAAATAAGAAAATAAATAGCGAAAACAACTACAATAAATGTTGAAAGTGTCCTCTTTGACATTCTAAGCAATAACTTAACCGATTTCGTAATTAAATTTGACGGCGGTATTTTTAAAAATGTGACAGCTGTCAATTGTATCTACTACTCATTTGGTCTACTCAATAGATTGATGTGTTTTTTTTAAAATCGAACATAGGGAAATTACATTCCATGCAAACTCCTATGTTCGCATTAAAAAAAAATTCACTGTATGCAAGTATACTTTCAATAATATTGCACTTATATCGCGCACCCAGCTTCCGAAACGATCAAAGTTGGGTCGTATGTTTACGTTTATCGCATTTTTTGTCTCTATTTAAATAAGAACCCCATATTATGCCCGACAACTGTACACACAGGTTAATCATACCATGATGGCAGTATAAATAAATTGTAATTTCTTAATGTAATACCCGAGCGTGTGCCACTGGTGGTGGCAGTATGATCGCAATTTGCTTCACGCGCGCGCTCTCTATTACGGGTCCCTTCTCTTTCATAGTCTAAGTGCCGAATACTAGGGGATTTTCGTAACGAAGCTAGAGGAGATGGGAAGAAGATGGCGACGAGGCCGACAGAAGACACACGCTTTCCCGGTTTTTTATTATTCTTGATTATTTTGGGTGATGGTGTTTTGAAGGTGTATTTACAGGTAGTAACCATTTTATTTCTTTCTTGTACTAGCTATTTAATCATTGAATTCTTGCCTAAATTTGATATTATTTACATTTTGCTGATTTTGCATAAACTACGATATCTGAATCATGGCGTACTCCATGCCTTTGTTTCGAGTACCGTTATATGAATCCTGTTTGTAATACTGTACAGATGATTGTGCCATTATTTTGTTTAATTAAGTATTTAGTTCTGTTATTCACGAGGAGTTGATTATCGGTGCGATGTTGCTCTGTTCGATTGACCCGTAACTATTCCGTGAGGGAAGTACCTAATACAGTTTGATGGTTTGCTGTATCTGTTACTTTCTGATTCGTGGCGCGCTGCATTTCTGTGCGTTAGCTATACGAAAGGGGGGCTCTCTTATTTGATGTTTCAATGTTTGTGTGTGCGAGTGGGTTATTCTGTCTCCGCGGAGTAGATACCTAATACAGTTCGACCTGTCGCTGTATCTGTTACCTGCTCGTCTCATGCAGGCTGCATTTCTGTGTCTCGCAATATGAGATGGGGGCCCTCTCAGTAACATTTCCTCTATTTAAAATATGTTCTGTTTGAGCGATAATCGATTTTCACATGAATACTTGCTATTTGACCAATGGCATTCTCACATGTACTTTTCGTGTTAAATTAAATTATGTTAACTGAAGGATGGAGTAGAGCCACACCATTTACATGTTTCCTATGTACATGCAATTTGTTTATTTGACGAGTTGTGTTATCTCTATTGATCATACAGGTATTTTGATGTGTTTTTGTACTGATTTGACTTTATCATGTTTTCCACTGCATTTATGATGTTTTGTGTATTTTGATTTTATGAACTTGTTTAATTGCATTTGATTTGATTATCTGATTTTTATCACACAATTTGAGATGTTTTATTTATGTGTATTTTCTCTTGCATTTTATTGCTGTAGGTGATTTATTTCATGTATTTGTGTGGCCTATGCCAGGGTTTTAGTCCCGTAGAAGGTTTCCCTGGCATGGTCTTGTGTGTGCGTTAATATATTTATTTGATTTTGTCATTTCTTACGCACAAAAGTTCTGTCTTTTATTTAATTCCCTTCCCGATTATGTCTCACGTCCCAACACATAAAAGAACCGATTACACAACGTAGGAGTCCATTCGTGCCACCCATATCGAACCGACTGTCACCCAAATTCAAAAGTGCCGGGAATCTAAAACGTTTCGACTTGAAAGGTAGGTGGTTCTGCTTGTAGTTTCTTGCCAGAGTTGCCAACGGTAAGTATAGGGTAAGTCAACGTTTTCAGTGTCGGCTTGATAGACTCCCCTAGGAAACTTATTTATTTGAACACTATGGTACGGTACGACGTGCGTTATCCATAACCATAACCACAATTGAGTTTGCTGGTGAATTTTTTTTATAAGCTGATTTTCTAACCACTCTATAAATTTGGTATGATTCATAACATCGTGATAAATCCCCCGATTTACTGTGCGATTTAAATATCGGCCGGAGGCCTTCGAGCTGTACCTGCAGTGTACTCTGTCGGCCTCGGGCGTTATTTCCGTTATACACGAAACTTTATTGGTACTTTCAAAGCAAGCAAAAAATATGAAGAATACATTTTTTTCATAAATCAATATTTAAAAAAATCCCTCTTGTATACCCCATCGCTTTACACACTGTATAACTCCCTTGATACGTTGGTAAATAAACGAGCACGGTTTTGATGTTATTAGTTAAAATGTATACTAAAATTATTGGTTGCTATCTCTTAAAAGAAAAAAAAAACATGTTAGAGGGTAAGATTACGACTCGCTATTTTGATAATTGGCACGTACTTTGACATTCCGAATATGTGTGCAACTCATAACGCACCCCTCATTTTGTTACGCCTATGGAATGACGCTGGCCACAATCGATGCGTCCATGAAAATTGAAATGTAGTTTTCTATTTTAACATCTACAAACATAACCTAAACTATAACATTTGTGCTTATCATCATTACATTTACAGTAAATTTCCTCGTTCGTTGTAATTATGGCATCTTCAGAACGATACAGTTTCTCATTAACGACCTTCAGGTAATAAAATGCAATTTTTCATTAATCATTTCTTTCACTTTCTTTATTACAGCCCTTCGGGGAAACTTGTCCAAATTGAATATGCCTTGGCTGCAGTTGCTGCTGGAGCACCTTCGGTTGGAATTAAAGGTAATTTGTGTTGTTCAATAATAACGCACTTATTTATGTACTGTATAGCTTCCAATGGCGTGATTATTGCTACAGAGAATAAGCATAAGTCGATTCTTTATGATGAACACAGCGTGCATAAAGTTGAAATGATTACGCAGCATATCGGAATGGTGTATTCTGGTATGGGACCGGATTATCGACTCTTAGTGAAACAAGCAAGAAAAATTGCACAACAATATACTTTGGTTTATAACGAGCCAATACCAACAGCTCAATTGGTCCAACGTGTAGCAGCAGTAATGCAGGAATACACACAATCTGGGGGAGTAAGACCATTTGGAGTTTCGTTACTCATTTGCGGTTGGGATAACAATAGACCGTACCTTTTTCAATGTGATCCTTCTGGTGCCTACTTTGCGTGGAAAGCAACAGCAATGGGCAAGAACTTTATTAATGGCAAAACATTTTTGGAGAAAAGGTTTTTAAATAAAAAAAAATATGTTTTCCAAAACAGTACTTTTGTTTTTTAGGTACAGTGAAGACTTGGAACTGGATGATGCTGTACACACTGCTATATTAACATTAAAAGAAAGCTTTGAGGGGCAAATGACTGCCGACAATATTGAAGTGGGAATCTGTGATGCTTCTGGATTTAAAAGATTAGACCCATCCCATGTTAAAGATTACTTAGCAAATATTCCGTAATTTTTTTTCTTAAACATGTATTTTTAATCTGAAATTTTGTATTCTAACTTAAAATACACTTGCAGAAATGATGTGATTATTGTATTAATGAAACTGCAGTACAGTCCAGTAGGTACAGGACTTAATGTAGTGCACCATATTTTTTAAATTAGGTATAATTTGTTTAAATTGAATTTGAGAAACCTGTCAAATGCAAGTATGTTGGTCATATAAATTAACATAAATTGGTGAAGCTCTCTTCATGTACCAGGTACCAAATGAGATTTATATCAGACCATCAATGTATTTGACTTGCTTGGTGGTAAAATGTGAGTTCTGTATGAAGCAAGAAACCTATTTTTGAATTGACACTTCATCACTTATTTTTTATTAAACAAAGGTGTAATAACTCATTGACTAAATTGTGTACCTTGCATCATAATTTACATATACTGCCACATTACCATCAACGAATAAGTAAGCCTCTCTTTGTTAAGGATTCTTTATTCAGAATTAAAAAATTGAACCATTTCTGAAATTAGGCAATCTATGTAAAATCCAAAGATGGTAAAAACATAGATATATAAATACCTAGATACAGCCATCCTTAACAAACGTACCTCGGTTTTTAAAAAACATATCAAAGAAATTTGTACATCTCTCCATTACTTTCTAACCAAGATGAAACATGTTCTATCTCTTTTTATTGCATTAACCACTATGTCGTACGCGAATCGGACGCTTGAAACAAACTTAGCGCGTCCCATAAGTCATGTGACAGTTGACCCATTTCACGATAGCGCGAAATCCAATCTAACTAAAAATATTCGCCCTAAACATGATGGGCGGTTTTTTCACTAAATATTATGTAATTATTGCGTTATCAATTGAATACGAATAACATTAGTGCTTGCCATAATGATAGACGCGTCCATAATTGTTATTCCTGAAATAGTTTTATTACATCGAACTACGCCATTCAAATTTGGGATAATGTTTACCCTGTTTGGCATGATGTGCTGCATTGAATTCATTGCTGGCTTGCAGAATATCAAAAAAACCGTAAGTAAGTAAAGTTTATGTTCAACATTTTAATTTTAATTGCATGGTTTTAGGCGTAATGGTAAAGGAAATTGTTGCGACAGGAAGTGAATTCGTTTCCAATTATTATTTTGGCCTATATGATGTTGATGCAGTGCGTTTGTATCATGATCACAAAGAAGGATCCGTCCAATATTCTTAGGAAAACGAGTTTTTAGACTGTGTGTGCGTGCAATATCAAATTTTGGTCGCTACGCGTCTTGCCTACCTTTCGGCATATGTCCATTCGGTGGGGTTTCTTTTTGAAATTATAGTGCTAATTGTAGTAAGTAAGCTACACGTGTACATTTATTTAAAATAAATACAACACCTTAACAATGATATCCAATTGGTGATAATACTCATTTAGTGAACATTCATTACGTTTGTAAAAGCTCACAATCCGAATCATCGTCAGATGAAATTTATCATCACTGTCATTATTAACACTTAGGTATTATAAAGTTCAGCAACATCAACCAAATATAACTTCTCTTTTAAATTAATCACTTTCCACATGTTCACACACTTTCTTCCAGTTGTCAGGTGTAATTTTTTCAAATTCTTCATTTGCCAGCTTTATAAGTAACATCTTCCATTTTAAATGTAACATTTCTTGCTGCTATGCGATTTAAATAAATAAAAAGGCGGTTTATTTATGTTGTAAAGTCTCAAATCTGATAATTTTCTGTGTGATTTGTGCTAACAATTTGATTGACAGTTATAATAAATAATGCGAATCTTGTCTTCCATGCTCAGGGTACCTCTATAAAGGATAGCGCTATACGTAATTAATGTGCCGAAAGTGATGGTAATAGATGGTACGTCCTTTTGAACTATGTTGGGGTATGGCTGTATCTATGTATTTATATATCTATGGGTAAAAATAAATTGTGCTGCCACATCGTGTCGAATAGGTGGTACTATCTAATTACATAATTGGTTTGTGTATACCATTGACTATTGCTCTCAGAAAATTTCAACCAATCATATTAATGCATATTACAGAAATCACCTAGCAACAGACTCCTTGAGTATTCATGCACTTGTGCAATACCCGCGGGTATTGCTTATGTGTAAATTTAAATACCTAAAATGAAATTTACATAAATAATTCTAAATTGTATTAACGAAAATTACAATTTGTAAAATGGCAATTTGTAACTGAACCCATGCTTATTTTCGGTTTCATGATGCTTTTTGAAAAACCATGTCTTTGAAAGGATCGAAACAAACATTATATTCTTCTTATCATGCAAAATTTTTGTCGGGCAATAGTCATCCCGTATATCCCTCGTGCACGCCAAATACCAGATCTGAATATTTCGCGAGTGCACGGTATTTGGCGTGCACTTGGGATATAATACTTGAATATTCAATGTGTATACTCTAAATTAAATCATATGATGGGTTCCATCAGGTTCCATGACCTTGTGCACATTCCTTTGTTTATTTTAACGAGATAAATATTATCTGGTTGACATATATAAACATCACTTTTTTTCCCCTTAAAGGGGCAGTATCCCCAAATTTTATGTTTTCGCCGCCGCACCCACGATGTCGGGATGACGTCACATGTTCTGTCTTTCAACCTTTCATCGTTAATAATTTGAAAACTACTCATCGTAGAAAACTTGAAATTTTGTTCTTAGATTTTCTTCTACAATTTTTTTGATTTTGGGTATGCTACCCCTTTAATACATAAATAACTAATTCATATCTTTTCTGTTCATTTATAATATTATTACTAGGGCTAGGACGTTAAAAATCAGCAAAAATGCAAAATAAAAAATGCAATTGTGACTTAAAAATCTCCCAAAAATGACATAAAAATTTAAAAAGATGACATAAATTTTATTGATCAAACTGAATAAGACGGTGAAATTATTTTATGAAGCAATTAGGTAACATAAGGCAGGAATTTTATTGTTAGTTGATTTCCACCCTCTGCAAACCAGTCTTAGAAAATAGGTGACTCACTTGATTGCATCCCAAAGAAATTTAATCCCTCAATGGGTATTCGTTTGTGTGTATAACTTAAAGCACGTTCCAAGAAAACATTAACTGTGCATTTAGCTTATAATAGAGGTTTTAGACTTTATTTCTAAACAGGTAAAAATATCCGGAATTACCGAGAAAAGAAAAATATTATTTGTATTTTGTTGTAGAAATGTAGACCGCATGAAAAATAAAACTTTAACAAACGTTTATAAACTCGCCAAGAAAAATATCGTAAAATGTCAAACAAATTAGCATTATTCCTCAGAAGTGCAAATAATTCAAAGTAAAACACACAAAATCTCCAAAAAATGTCCCATTCCTCAAAAATGGGCAAAAAATGCACCAACAAATTGCTGTCATTTGATTCAATTTATCCTGAAACACGTTTATATATAACGGAGCAATGTCTTAGACTTTCAGAAAAAAAGATACAAAATCATCAAAATCCTAGCCCTATATTATATAATTATTACATTAGGTACAATGAAGGTACGCCACTGGCCAAGAAACGCTGATGATGACGGGGGAGTTTCAAGCATCCATCCTGGTGTGGACTGTCTCGACAATGGGTTTATCGTACGGCAATACTTCAAAAATCTATGTTTTGAATCAAAAATGCCCAGGCATTTTTTTCTTGTGGGAGTACCTAGAATCGAAAGTCTACATCAACAAGTCGCGAACATTAGGCAAGCGGTGCGAGAGGCAGATGACAGCCAACGCGAAACGCTCTTTCTTTTTGAATGACATCATCTTGAAAAAAATTTTTTTACATAATGGAAACTCCCCATAACGAACAGACAGACGGGCAGATAGACGGACTGACAGACGAAAGGACAGACGGACGGAGAGACAGGCGGACATACAGACGGGCAGTCAGGCGGACAGACATACGGACGGACAGGCTGACAGACAGGCAGACAGCCGGACGGACAGGCAGACGGACAGACAGACAGCAATACAAAATTATAAACGATCTTAATAAAAAAAATAAAAATAGTAATTATACACCAAGGTAGAGAAGTTGATTTTCTTAGAAGCGAGGCGATGAACATGAAAAGTCTTCTCTACCGTGGTTTATATATTATTTTATTCACTACTAGCAGATGAACTGTTTTAACACATAACGGGCGATCAAAAATGAGTTGCTGTCGAGTCGCCTTTGGAAGTTCAAGTTAAGAGTCTTCTTTACCTAAGCGCAACTTTTTTACATTATAGTGTATAGATGATTATAGCTGCAAGAGATAAGATGATATTCTTGCTTTGTCAACTCCTGTCTTGGTCCTTAGTTAGTTCCCACCGACACTGTGCAGCGGCGCCACTTGTTACACTCAAATTGTTGATTTAACGCCCCCCAAGATACAGACTTTATTTACAAAAATTATGATTTCATTTTTTGGGGTCATGTTTAGAAGTAATTTATCTAAAAAACTGTCGGTTTACTTTTTCCATAAATCGTCTTGATCGAGAGTAAAAAAATAAAACAGATTAGCGCAATAATCGGTGCGAAACATCTAAATTTTAAACAATCTGTATTCAGTTGCTATAAACTTTAAAAAAAAAATAGTCCGAACATTTTGTAGATAAAGGTCTAAATTTATAAAATAGTTCTTTAAAAAAATTGTTTTTGTAAAAACAAATAGAGTTTTTATGGCGGGCGCTCTTATGGAAATTTACATTGGGTGCAGTGGGTACAGAAGACTCTTAAGTACGATTTCCCATGTAAACAAAAATTCCAAAGGTAACTCGACAGCAACTCATTTTTGATCGCATAGTATTTAAATATCATTAGAAAACACGATTTTGGCGATTTTAAGTACCTATAATAGATTAAGGTACTTTTACAAGAAGGCTGTGTCTTTGACATTACATTATTTGTAAGTCGCATTTTGCGTGTTTCGCTAATTGCTGTTAAATAAATATGGATAGCGAATTTTCGTGCACTCCTCCAGACAGACGAGAGGCAGCAAAAAGCGTGGCCGCTAACGACCTCTTGCCTGAAAAATCAAAACATTATTA